GAACGCAATAAAGTCAGGAGATTAGCACCACGACAATGACGTCGTTTCACAGTCAATAGACGCAAAACATATGACCAACAACGACAACATTTATATTTGATTCATTCCTGCGTCTAGCATTCTAGTACGAGCCTGATATTGGGTATTATGCTCACTCAAAAGTGGTAATTGGTGCTATGGACAAGGAGTATCCGCATTGTCATGCTCTGAAATTTCAAAAATGAGCCAACTGGCCCAGTGGGATGTGTTGCGCGTCAGGAAAAGTGCTACTACCAGAAATTGAAACACCACCTTAACCATTGAACGGCTTACTTATCGGCACGAATCGGTATAGCCGTGTCGGAGGAGTATGGTAACAAAAACTGTGACACGAAAATATTATATATATAATTATAAGTCTAGAACTGAGTAAATTTTGTACAGAAATTATAAAATCATCTGGTGGCAAAAAAACGTTTGCCGAGTCAGCTAGTATGTAAATATTAAAGGATAATCATGTAAATATAGAAAATTTATTTATTTTATGTTCGTTTTTGTTAAATACATTTATAATTTATGTCATTATTATTTTAAGGCGAATTAGTTTGCCGGCAAAAACGAGTTTGCTCGTTTTACACTGTTTGCCAGGTTATATACGAAAATTTCCAAAGTATTTTTGCATCAAAATGAAAAAAAAAAAAGTTTTTTTTTATATAAAAACTGAATATTAGACCGATTGTTTATTTGGCATTTATATGATATAGTGGTCCGATCTGCCTGATTTTAACATATTATTTTAGGATAAATAGAAGTCAACTAGAAGTTTATATGGCCGCTCTCCCCATACAAGCCCCATACACACACTGTGTGATGTTAAGGTAGTTTTTTGCTGCATAGCATCTTCACTTAATAAATAAATAAATCAAAATAAAATATAAAAAATAAACTGTTGGTGAAAGAGATGAGTACCGGGTATAATATAGACTATAAACTCGACTATACCCGTCCTTTCTGTTTTGAATTGCTTCTAGGAAAACTATTCTTTAATTTTGTATGCTTTCGATTTTAAACGGGGCGAACTCTTTGGTCGACTATACCGGTCGACTATGCTAAATACATGAACGCTCGCGAATTTCAGAACTTTCGTATAATTCAAGAAAGATGCCTGTTTTAAAAATTCGTATTAAATAAAATTGGTACTAGAAGAAGAAACATCAGGTCAGCTCCAGTGTTCCCTTTTAATTACTTTAGGTTATATGTTACCTTTTATGCCCAGACATCGCCACATTCTGTTGGCCACACCCTGGGGCTCTACATAATTTCCCAAATTTCAACAGTGGGCTGCCCACTTAGCAACTAGACAATACTGACGTTGACTTATGGCAAGTGGTTCTGTTTTTGCTTTAGCCTTTGTTGCCCGCCAGTCCACAAATTGACGTTTCCCAAATTTTAAGAGGCAGGCCAAAGGCCGCAGAAAAACAAGAGTACGGGTTGTAGTCACTCAAACCTATTCACTCATGCATTCTTTGTCGCTAAAAGTTTAATGTTTTTTTTGCTGCCTTCATTACACTGAGACCTCCTGGAAAACGACTTCGACATTTGTAAATAACTTCAATTATGTCCTCGATTTAGATCAGTGGTCAGTGGCCAATATCAATACAATCATTGATATGATTTTGATAATGATTTTAAATTTGAATTCATTACTATTAGTAACGAATAGAATAGAAAGTACGCAGGGAGCATGACGTTTCATACGTTTATACTGTGAATGAGTGGCAGAGCTCGGACACAGAAATTTCCTATGTCCCTTCAATAGGCCCTGCCGACCACTGATTTAGATGGTCACTCCATCTAGATGTCATATTAGATACTACGAAACACTACTCAATTTTTGGATACGGCCATGCCATAGAATTTGTTTGGCATGAAAACATTTTATACCTGATATTCGTAGAGACAAGAGTACATTGTAGTCGTGTGAATGTATGTAAAATAGAAAAGAAATCGTCTCCGACCCTAAAAAAAATATAAAATTCTTGATCAGCATCTACAGCTGACTTGACATAGCCATGCTTGTGTGTCTGAATGAACGCGTGGATCTCAGAGACTGTAAGAGATAGCTATAGACTAAAATTATGAAACAAAAAACAAAAAGTTTTAGAGGGCCACCGGCGCCGGTACAGGAAGGTTTTTTTCTTGAAACTTTTGATGCTAAACTATTTCTATAGTTAATATAAGTCTGAAAAACAAATCGTCTGATTCTTGGAGGAGATACCCATATACATACATACCCATACCCATATAGATACCCATATACCCATATATAAAATATCTCTTACAAACGGGATACAATTTGGAACGCGTGAATCTCGAAGACTAAAAAATAGAACTATCAAAACTTAGGAACTTGAGATCGTATGATATCCGCGCAGATCAAGCTTGTGTCAAAATTTTGCCAATGCCACTCTTGCCCACGAAACAGAATTCTGATGTTAGCACAAGTTCATTAATGTTTTTGGAAAATGTTTTGCTGCCAAGCTGTTCCAATAGATTAGGTGTAGATAAGCACACCTACAAATTAAAATGCAGCCAAATCGGATAATTTTTAGGGGAGCTATAGACTTTTTAGTCTGTTTTCCCTACTGAATCGGTAGTATGACCGTAGTGGGGCTGAAGTTGTTATTTTGCCAAAGCGCAAGAGTATGGAAAAAAAATATTTTCGGTTAAAGTTTAAACTATAAAGGTTAGGTAAATTGTGGGTGGAAGAGATGAGTACCGAGTAATTTGATGAGAGATGAGATGAGTAAAATTTAGTGTCAAAATGTCTAAGCTTACATTCCTTTTTTCTTTCATTAAAAGTAAATTTTCTAAAAATATATACAGAAAAAAGTGACCAAATAATATAATCTGTAGGAGGATTTTTTTTTGAGTGTACCAATCTGTTCTTCCACAGCATGGAAAGTGGAACACCGCACGTACCTCGGACATCCTGTTATAGTTCTAAGTACGCGATTCTGCAACACCTGGATGCGTTTACAATTTTATTTGGCTGCGATCCCTCCAATTAGTTTTCCCTAAAGCCAAATTGGCAGGATGCTATGCGCATGTTTCGCCCTTTTCCGGCAAGAAGCTTCTTCTATTGAATAGCCAACGGAGCTGTGTATTTATGATATTACATTTTTATACCCTTGCAGAGGGTATTATAATTTTGTCCAAAAAGTGTGCAACCCAGTGAAGGAGACATCTCCGACCCTATAAAGTATATATATTCTTGATCAGGATCACCTCCTGAGTTGATATGAGCATGTCCGTCTCTCCGTCTGTCCGTCTGTCTGTCTGTTTCTACGCGAACTAGTCTCTTAGTTTTAAATCTATCGACTTGAAACTTTGCACACACCCTTCTTTCCTTTGCACGCAGAATATAAGTCGGAACGACCGGGATCGGCCGACTATCGGGATCCTATAGCTGCCATATAAATGATTGATCGGAAATGGTATAACTTTGGTGTTTTTAAAGTTAGAGAGTTCAAATTTGACATGAGAGCTAATTTTACGACAGCAAAACATTACGACATGCCAAATTTCATAAGGATCAGCCGACTATATCCTATAGCTGCCATATAACTGAACGATCGGAAATGACCCAACTTTCGTGTTTTTGAAGATACAAAGCTGGAATTTAGTACATATTCTATGTGTAAGGATCGGCCGACTATATCCTATAGCTGCCATATAACTGAACGATCGGAATTGACCCAACTTTTGTGTTTTTGAAGATAGAAAGCTGGAACTTGGTACAGATTATATTTTTGGTCAGTTAATCCGACCTACTAACTTTTATAACGACCGGCTGACTATATCTTATAGCTGCAATATAACTGAACGATCGAAAATGATTTTTGGTAGAAATACCAACTTTGGTATTTTTGAAAATAGACGTTTGGGACTTTTTTTTAGATTTTATATTATAATAAATTGGGTTATATTATCGTATTCTCATAAGGATCAGCCAACTATATCCGATGTTTGCGATATATATCCGGTTTTAACTGCAAGGGTATATCAACTTCGCTTCCGCCCGAAATTAGCTTTCTTTTCTTGTTAACAATGAACTTGAGATGTGACTCAAAAGTAAGTCGCTCATCCAAAGTAATGCCAAGATATTTTGCTTCCTTTGGCTGCTCTGTAGTAACTTCCTCTAGCAGAACTTGAGGAGTTTTAATTATGTACCTATTCACTGTGAAACAACGGTTCGTTGTTTTCAGCTGGTCGATCTTCAAATTTGCACTTGAATGAAATCCAAATTTCAAACACCGTTTGCCCCAAGCTTCAAGAGTAACAAGATACCTTGAAGTCCATTAGAAGCTTCTCTGTGTCAGCTGGAATTGTAGAGTAAGCTGACTGTTAGGGCTGGGTATGTCGGCAGAACACAGTGATTAGAGCAACGGTCCAAGCTCACTACCCTGTGAAACTCTCCCGATCAAAATATATTCGAGTGTCTATCTCTGCATTTGACCGGTTCGGTTAGTTCTATCTTTTATAGTCTTCGAACACGCGTTCAAAATTTTAGCCCGTTTTTATGGGAAATGGTGTCTATATAGGTATATCTCCTCTAAAAATCTGTCGATTTGGCTGAAATTTGTTTTTAGATATTAATTAACTTTAGAAATTGTTTGGCATCTAACGTTTTTTGGTGAAAATACTTTCCTGTACTGGCGCTATAGAAATTCGCGATTGACTAAGGGGGCGTGGAAATTTGAAACTAATTTAAAAGTCGTGTATTATAGGAGTCTTCAAACAAAATTCTATAGCTCTATGTATTTCTTATATTCTCTGAGTTCAACGCGTTCATACGGAAATGGCTGCATCGACTCGGCTTTGAGCTATATAGTTGCATTAAAACTCCTCTGATAAAAGCGCAGATCAAGCGTTTGTTGCCACACTATTTCTATAGTTAATTTATATCTAGAAATCAAAGTTCAGCCGATTCTAGGAATTTTCTTAAAATAAAAACGGACTTTTGTGATTATAATGCTATTTATTGAGTTGTGGTTACTGTTGGTTAGGAATACAAGTTGCAGTGCAAGCTCTATCGTCAATCCAGGGGGAGGAGGTTTTTGTTTAGTTTCGCTGAGCCGGGCAGTTCAGCACAAGGCTTCGGGCGCGGCACTCACCGGCCTCCGAGTCGAACCACAGACCAGCGCGGCACTTTCGGAGCAGGCGGCGACCCTCACGGCACTCGTAGAACCGCCTGCAGTGGTTGGGGTCCTGGACCAGACTGCCCTCAGCACGACCAACGCACATGGCACTGGTGCCCACAGAACTGCTGCTGGTGCCGGCAAGGAGATTCCTCAAAGGTTTGGGAATCAAATTAATTAGTCCCTCACTGGCTGTCTTCTTGATTTTAGACGTCTCAGCGGTGCAGGGTGGGGTAGTGGGCTGAAGACAGGCGGTAGTAGTGGGCTCGGAGCAGGGGGGTGGTGGTGTCGTTGTAAGAGGTGGAGAGGGGGTTGTGCCCTTGCATGGTGGACGTGGAGTTGTTACATCATCTGGACGAGGTGTCGTGGAGTCCGATTGACCATTGCAGGGAGGACGTGGAGTTGTTGCATCATCTGGACGAGGAGTCGTAGAGTCTGACTGACCATTGCAAGGTGGTCGTGGAGTTGTTACATCATCACTAGGAGGAGCAGATGTGGTTGATGAAATTATGGGAGCGCATGGTGCTTTCGTTGTCGTTGTTGTTGTGGTGGTTGTTGTTGTTGTCGTTGTGGTGGTTGTTGTTGTAGTGGTGGTTGTTGTTGTAGTGGTGGTTGTTGTTGTAGTGGTGGTGGTTGTTGTAGTTGTAGGGGCGCAAGTTGTTGTTGTGGTTGTTGCATCATCTGGACGAGGAGTCGTAGAGTCTGCCTGACCATTGCAAGGTGGTCGTGGAGTTGTTACATCATCTGGACGAGGTGTGGTGGAGTCCGATGGACCATTGCAAGGAGGACGTGGAGTTGTAACATCATCACTAGGAGGAGCAGATGTGGTTGATGAAACTATGGGAGCGCATGGTGCTTTCGTTGTCGTTGTTGTTGTGGTGGTTGTTGTTGTTGTCGTTGTGGTGGTTGTTGTTGTAGTGGTGGTTGTTGTTGTAGTGGTGGTTGTTGTTGTAGTGGTGGTTGTTGTTGTAGTGGTGGTGGTTGTTGTAGTTGTAGGGGCGCAAGTTGTTGTTGTGGTTGTCGTTGTAGTAGTGGTGGTGGTTGTTGTTGTTGTGGTGGTTGTGGTTGTGGTGGTTGTTGTTGTGGTGGTGGTCGTTGAAGTGGTAGTGGTTGTTGTAGTTGTAGGGGCGCAAGTTGGTGTTGTTGTGGTTGTCGTTGTAGTGGTGGTGGTTGTTGTTGTTGTGGTGGTGGTTGTTGTTGTGGTGGTGGTTGTTGTGGTGGTGGTCGTTGTAGTGGTAGTGGTTGTTGTAGTTGTAGGGGCGCAAGTTGTTGTTGTGGTTGTCGTTGTAGTGGTGGTGGTGGTTGTTGTTGTTGTGGTGGTGGTTGTTGTTGTGGTGGTCGTTGTAGTGGTGGTGGTTGTTGTAGTTGTAGGGGCGCAAGTTGTTGTTGTGGTTGTCGTTGTAGTGGTGGTGGTGGTTGTTGTTGTTGTGGTGGTCGTTGTAGTGGTGGTGGTTGTTGTTGTTGTGGTGGTCGTTGTAGTGGTGGTGGTTGTTGTAGTTGTAGGGGCGCAAGTTGGTGTTGTTGTGGTTGTCGTTGTAGTGGTGGTGGTGGTTGTTGTTGTTGTGGTGGGGGTTGTTGTTGTGGTGGTCGTTGTAGTGGTGGTGGTTGTTGTTGTGGTGGTCGTTGTAGTGGTGGTGGTTGTTGTAGTTGTAGGGGCGCAAGTTGGTGTTGTTGTGGTTGTCGTTGTAGTGGTGGTGGTTGTTGTTGTTGTGGTGGTGGTTGTTGTTGTGGTGGTGGTTGTAGTGGTGGTGGTTGTTGTAGTGGTAGTGGTTGTTGTAGTTGTAGGGGCGCAAGTTGTTGTTGTGGTGGTTGTAGTCGTGGTGGTTGTTGTAGTAGTTGTGGTTGTAGTTGATGTTGTAGTTGTAGTTGTAGGAGCACAAGTTGTTGTTGTTGTTGTTTGGGCGGAAGGTTCAATTGTTGTTGTAGTAGCGACAACACTTGGTGGTTTAGTGGTCGTTTCACATGGTGGTGGTGGTGGAGTGGTTGTCAGTTTACAGGGAGGTGTCGGAGTAGTGGTGACACCATTGCACAACTCCTGTGGAGGCTTGGGTCTAATGATTCTGTGGCCAGATCCGACGCAGATAGCCGCAGATGCCACAAGGGCCAGCAAAAGGAGATTTGCTGTAAGGAAACATGTTAGCCAGAGCCAACACCTATGTTACTCGCTATTCCACGGTACTTACACAGATTCATCGAAAACTTCGGGCGGCGCAAAAGGATAACTAACTGCTGTTGGTTACTTTACCGCTTTCGCTTCGGTGCTCTAAGAACTGAAATTTGCACTTCACTTTTATAGTCGTGCGGTGGACTTTCCTTCGTGTTTTGGACTACAAAGTTACAAGCATGTTACGACTTTTTTCCTGATAACTAAGGGCCAATTTACAAAGTGCAGAAGTCTGATAACGAGCTTTTTTTTAAAAAAAAACATATCTTACTTCCTATAACAGTTAGTCCAACGCAAATTTATTTTTAGAAGAAAAAAATTTTTCTTTTTTTCTTCAATGTTGCTTAATAAGTTGTTTGTTAGTGATCTGTAACTACTTGCAAGTGTAATAATGGCCTTGGCTTTTTGAGGATAAATTAATTTGTTTTACTTCTATCACAAATTCCACCTTTTTCTCTCAGATGGATGGCTACGACCTTGGGAGCCAACATACCATATGTATCCATATCAACAAAATACAAGGGAAATCAAGTTCGGATCTGCCCAAGCAAACTTTTTATACCCTTGCAGAGGGTATTATAATTTTGTCCAAGATTGTGCAACTCAGTGAAGGAGACATCTCCGACCCTATAAAGCATATATATTCTTGATCAGGATCACCTCCTGAGTTGATATGAGCATGTCCGTCTGTCCGTCTGTCTGTCTGTTTCTACGCGAACTAGTCTCTCAGTTTTGAAGCTATCGTCTTAAAACTTTGCACACACCCTTCCTTTCCTTTGCACGCAGTATATAAGTCGGAACGGCCGGGATCGGCCGACTATATCCTATAGCTGCCATATAACTGATTGATCGGAAATGGTATAACTTTGGTGTTTTTAGAGTTAGAGAGTTCAATTTGACATGAGAGCTATTTTTGGCAACAAATTACGACATGCCAAATTTCATAAGGATCGGCCGACTATATCTTATAGCTGCCATATAACTGAACGATCGGAAATGACCCAACTTTCGTGTTTTTGAAGATAAAAAGCTGGAACTTGGTACAGATTATATTTTTGGTCTGTTAATCCGACCTACAAAATTTCATTAGGATCGGCCGACTATATCCTATAGCTGCCATATAACTGAACGATCGGAAATGACCCAACTTTCGTGTTTTTGATGATAGAAAGCTGGCACTTGGTACACATTCTATTTTTGGTCAGTTAATCCGATCTTACAAATTTCGTAACGATCGGTTGACTATATCTTTTAGCTGACATATAACTGAACGATCGGAAATGGTATTTGGTAGAAATATCAACTTTCGTATTTTTGAAGATAGAAGCTTGGGACTTTTTTTTAGATTTTTTATTGTAATTAATTGGTTTTATTATGATGTAATCATAAGGATCGGCCAACTATATCCGATGTTTGCGATATATATCCGGTTTTAGCTGCAAGGGTATATCAACTTCGGCTCCGCCCGAAGTTAGCTTTGCTTTCTTGTTTTATCTAACTTTAAGCTTAACTTGTTATATTGAATATTATACTTACTACCAATACTTTCGTTATGGAAGGCCAACATTTTTCCGATTGTTTTTCTTTTATGTTTTTAATTCACCACAATAATGGATCCGGTTTTTATTTTATTTCCTGTAAGAACAGAACGAAAACGAAAAAAATTTAAAACTACATTCATATGTACATAGTTACATAATTACACTATTTATTACATTTTTATACCCTTGTAGAGGGTATTATAATTTTGTCCAAAAGTGTGCAACGCAGTGAAGGAGACATTTCCGACCCTAAAAAGTATATACATTCTTGATCAGGATCACTTTATGAGTTGATATTATATAAGCATGTCCGTCCGTCCGTCCGTCCGTCCGTCTGTCCGTCTGTCTGTTTCTACGCAAACTAGTCTCTCAGTTTTAAAGCTATCGTCTTGAAACTTTGCACACACCCTTCTTTCCTTTGCACGCAGTATATAAGTCGGAACGGCCGACCCAACTTTCGTGTTTTTGAAGATAGAAAGCTGGAATTTAGTGTAGATTCTATTTTTGGTCGGATTAACTGCTACCTGATTTAACTGATTAACCAAGCTACCAAATTTCATTAGGATCGGCCGACTATATCCTATAGCTGCCATATAACTGAACGATCGGAAATGACCCAACTTTCGTGTTTTTGATGATAGAAAGCTGGCACTTGGTACACATTCTATTTTTGGTCAGTTAATCCGATCTTACAAATTTCGTAACGATCGGTTGACTATATCTTTTAGCTGACATATAACTGAACGATCGGAAATGGTATTTGGTAGAAATATCAACTTTCGTATTTTTGAAGATAGAAGCTTGGGACTTTTTTTTAGATTTTTTATTGTAATTAATTGGTTTTATTATGATGTAATCATAAGGATCGGCCAACTATATCCGATGTTTGCGATATATATCCGGTTTTAGCTGCAAGGGTATATCAACTTCGGCTCCGCCCGAAGTTAGCTTTGCTTTCTTGTTTTATCTAACTTTAAGCTTAACTTGTTATATTGAATATTATACTTACTACCAATACTTTCGTTATGGAAGGCCAACATTTTTCCGATTGTTATACCCTTGCAGAGGGTATTATAATTTTGGTCAAAAGTGTGCAACGCAGTGAAGGAGACATCTCCGACCCTATAAAGTATATATATTCTTGATCAGGATCACCTCCTGAGTTGATATGAGCATGTCCGTCTGTCCGTCTGTCCGTCTGTCCGTCTGTCTGTCCGTCTGTCTGTCCGTCTGTCTGTTTCTACGCAAACTAGTCTCTCAGTTTTAAAGCTATCGTCTTGAAACTTTGCACACACCCTTCTTTCCTTTGCACGCAGTATATAAGTCGGAACGGCCCGGATCGGCCGACTATATCCTATAGCTGCCATATAACTGATTGATCGGAAATGGTATAACTTTGGTGTTTTTAGAGTTAGAGAGTTCAAATTTGACGTGAGAGCTATTTTTGGCAAAATAATACGACATGCCAAATTTCGTAAGGATCGGCCGACTATATCCTATAGCTGCCATATAACTGAACGATCGGAAATGACCCAACTTTGACCCAACTCGTGTTTTTGAAGATAGAAAGCTGGAACTTGGTACAGATTATATATTTGGTCAGTTGATCCGACCTACCAAATTTCATTAGGATCGGCCGACTATATCCTATAGCTGCCATATAACTGAACGATCGGAAATGGTACTTGGTAGAAATATCAACTTTCGTATTTTTGAAGATAGAAGTTTGGGATTTTTTTTAGATTTTGTATTGTAAAATATTGGATTATATATTCCTATTCCCATAAGGATCGGCCAACTATATCCGATGTTTGCGATATATATCCGGTTTTAACTGCAAGGGTATATAAACTTCGGCTCCGCCCGAAGTTAGCTTTCCTTTCTTGTTTTTCTTTTATGTTTTTAATTCACCACAATAATGGATCCGGTTTTTATTTTATTTCCTGTAAGAACAGAACGAAAACGAAAAAAATTTAAAACTACATTCATATGTACATAGTTACATAATTACACTATTTATTACATTTTTATACCCTTGTAGAGGGTATTATAATTTTGTCCAAAAGTGTGCAACGCAGTGAAGGAGACATTTCCGACCCTAAAAAGTATATACATTCTTGATCAGGATCACTTTATGAGTTGATATAAGCATGTCCGTCCGTCCGTCCGTCTGTCCGTCTGTCTGTTTCTACGCAAACTAGTCTCTCAGTTTTAAAGCTATCGTCTTGAAACTTTGCACACACCCTTCTTTCCTTTGCACGCAGTATATAAGTCGGAACGGCCGACCCAACTTTCGTGTTTTTGAAGATAGAAAGCTGGAATTTAGTGTAGATTCTATTTTTGGTCAGTTGATCCAAGCTACCAAATTTCATTAGGATCGGCCGACTATATCCTATAGCTGCCATATAACTGAACGATCGGAAATAGTATTTGGTAGAAATATCAACTTTCGCATATTTGAAGATATAAGCTTGGGACTTTTTTTAGATTTTTTATTTTAGTTAATTGGTTTTATTATGATCTAATCATAAGGATCGGCCAACTGTATCCGATGTTTGCGATATATATCCGGGTTTAACTGCAAGGGTATATCAACTTCGGCTCCGCCTGAAGTTAGCTTTCCTTTCTTGTTATGTTGGTTATTGGTCTTTTGAATTCCTAGTATGAGGCAATGATCGAGTGACTTAAAGACTTAAGTGACCGAGCTCAAAGACTATTTTAAATAAGATTTTTAGCCTCTTATTATTTTGGTTTAAATATACATATTTCAAACCTTTCTGCTGAGACTCTGCACCGAAAAGTTTGGGACTTTCATACTTGATACTCGCCAAATACTGCCAAAATATTCTTACCTAAATGAGAATATATGGGAATGTCCCTATAATGGAATATTTTTTTGAAACAATTTTTTTTCGCGCGGCTCTTGCTGCAAACGTACAGCTTACCCGCCCAACGGACCGTGGAGCGCTGCCGCATAACGTAAATCTCAAATTGCAGGAATAGATCCGAGAAAAAGAGTTTCTAGTTCTTTTACTATAAATTTAACATTTTTTAGCGTGCTTTTAGATACATATTATCTGCCTCAGTATTATTAATAATTAATATTTTTAAGACGCTCCCAAAGAGAGGCATTGTTCTAATTCTATGTTATATTTAACAACTTATTGTATTTATTTATTTATTTTTGGAAAGAAATTGTAAATAATATTTTATAGTTGGAGCTTTTAAATTTGAAACATTTAATGGTTCAGATGATTCATGAAAACCCTTCTTTAATTAACTGTGGGCCACAAACAGCCCACTTTCCGATGCATCCCATTGCGAACGCATTCACTTTGAGTATTTTTTTATTTCAACCATCAGGACTGTTTTGGTTGAATGGCTCGAAAAGTTTTAGACAACACAAACAGAGGCAGAAAAACAAAAAGCGAATAAAAGAAAATTTGCTGAGTTAAAAAAAGTGAAGTGTGGAAAGTTTTTTAAAGCAAACGTGCCTACCTTTTCTCTTTGAAAGAACCGAAACAGAAACATATTAAAATAGGGGCATCCATATT